CTATAAACTTTGTTTCACATCAACAGCTCCAAAAAAAGTGATACTATATAAAAGAATTCATCTTTGCCTTAGCTTTTTCAATAAAAACATCACCTGAATTGCTGCTAAAACCAACAAAATTCGATAAACGCCATACATATCGAAACAGGAGAGAGAAAGGGAGAGAGAGAGAGAGAGAGAAAGAGAGAGAGAGATGAGGATGAGAAGGCATCTCTTCTTTCTTTTAGTTCTTCAAACCCATCAAAAAACAGTAGGCCAAGCCAACAGGCCTGTCTGACGTTTTCACTTTGTCTTTTCCTTTGTATTTTTGCTCCTTCAATTATTGCAATTAAATTCCTCATTTCAAAATTTTGGTTCTTGTTACCAACAACTAAAACAAAATTACTGTCCTAAAATTTTCCTGCAAGATAACTTTTGTACTGTAAGTAATTTTTTGGCAAGATTATTGGTTTTGGCTAGATTCGCTACGGGGGGTAATTCTTTAGAATAAAAATTTAAAATTCGTAAGAATTTCAATTTGTAATATAATAGGAATTAATTTGTGGGTGTAAGTGTAACATAACACCTACAAGAATCTGAAATTCATGAAAGTTAGAATTAACATTCTTTTAACCTTAATTTCCATCAATCATATGAAGCCCTAGGTAATTAGTAGCTATTGTTGCCTAGGTTTCTGATGGGACAACTAATTTTATGAACTGATGATGTGCGTATGTACATATATATAGGAAAAAAAAAAAAAAAAAATTGAGTCGTATTATAATGGTACAATTGGAAGTATAATATAAAAAATTCATTACTCGGATATATATCATATACCATGTCAAATTGTTTATGTAACATTTGAACGGGAGACGACTTAGGGAGTGATTGTAATTGAAGTCAAGTGGAAATAAAATGATTATCAAATTATGGGTTGACAACTTTTTCTAGCCAATTAATAATAAAAATAACTTCCTCCACATAGAACCCTCAAATATAAAAAATACGTAGCACTAATACATGTAAAAAAAACATACAATAAATATATTTTGCTTCTCCAAATATGTATACTAATAACATACGTTAAAAAGCGTCACATATTAAAAATAAAAAATGCAATGTCACATATACACTAATGATAAAATTCCAACGAATATATATTTCAATAGAATTCCAACGGCAATTCCAGTGGATATTTCAATGATATTATTTCCGTTGAAATTATTCCAACGGAAATTCCAACAAAAATATTCCGTTGGAATGAGTTTTCATTGGAATTTCCGTTGGATTTTGACGATATTCTAACGGTAAATTTTCTAACGGTGGTGGAAATAAAAATTTCAACGGAAATTCCTACTGTCAAAATTCGTTGGAAATATAGTCGTTGGAATCATCAAATTTCATCTAAAATTCTAATAAAAAATACATTCCAACGGAATATTTTCGTTGGATTCCGTTGAAAACATTCCAACGAAAGCTATACCATTGGAATATCCGTTGGAACTTCGATTGGAATATATTACCATAGGATTTTCCGTTGAAATATAACAATTTTTTTGTAGTGATAATTTCATGTCATCAATTTTAGGAATGAAACTTGTATACTTCTAAAAGCTTTAGGGCGTGCTAGAATACAAATATATCCTTGAAAACGAGTTATTTTTTCTTTTGTTAATTAAAGTTAATTTTAATAAATGTGGTATAGTTAGTTGTTAGTGAATTTTGAGTTTATATTAAAATAATATCTAAAATAAAATAATAAAAGTTGATTTGACGTAAAAATATGAGAGGAATAATGAGAAGTAATGGTTGATTAAAATTGTTTGACTGGATTAATTGTGAATAAATTTAAATGCGTAAAAATGATTGATTGTTATGTTTTAATTATAATAAAAATATTGAGAATAGTGAAGTTGAATTAAATTAAGTTAAATATTGAGTATAAATTGAATATGAATTGAGTTATTTTATAAACATACGCATCTTAGGATTTTTTTCATTTTTTTTCTGATGGCACTGATAAGAGTAACTAAACACAAAAATAAATGTGACAAAATGCTGACATATTGATTCACATGATTTATTTAATAGCATACATATAAAGCGGATAAAAAAAAATGTACTATTAAGTATTATGTAATTTTAGAAAATGAAAAAAAAAAAATGAAGATATATATGCAAATGTGTGTGTGGGCTCGCGAGCATTCACGGAAATTAAAAAGCTGTTAGAAAATTATTCTTTCTGCTCCAATAGATAATTTATATTGAAATTTGAAATTCATG